GAGCCATACAAACCGAAGGTGTGGGGGGAAGCCATTGGATTCTGGTGACCCGCCGCACGTTCGCTCTGCGTGCCTCTCACTTGCCGCAACGCCGCCGTCTTCTGTCCGCACAGCATCTGTTAGTGGTCCCTCTGCCCCTTCCATCCCCAGCAACCATACCCTCCCCGTTGGCTTGCTGCAACTGTGCGGCGTCTGTCGTGATTTCAAAAATCAAACATTGCTGCCAACGGCCCACCGCCAGGTCACCACGTGGGGCGTCTTCCCGCGGCCCCAGAACATCAGCCAGGCCTACGGCGGCGGCCGCAACATCAAGCCGGGCCAGGAGCTGGAGACGCCTGAGCAGAAGGCTAAGAGGGAGGTGCGGGCCCGTGTGCACACGCGCCACGCTGCTGTTCACATTTCACGGTTGGAGCAGGCCGCCGCCCTTGCAGTGGCGGAGGCTCGAGGCGGCCGCGTTCGCGCCCTTGGTCGTGCCTCGACAGCGCGCACACGCCGCCCGCGTGCGTTCTCGGCCCCCGCGCCCGGCCTGCCCCCGCGCCCCTGTGCGCCCGCTGGAGCCAGAACCAAGTACATTGACAATTTTTGACTCTTCTGTTGATGTTATGTTAATTGTCACGAGCCTCTACTCGTGGTGACGCTCTGAAATGACACCCCCTCTGCCCATCTGCCCGGACGCCTGCACCCCCCCACGCCCCCCTCCGCGGCCAGGCGGAGTACGCGGCGGTGCTGGAGCGCTACAAGCAGAAGGCCGGCCTAACGGAGCTTGACCCCGAGACGATGGCGGCCGCGGAGAAGCGCTTCGCGCGCGGCCTCGCGCTGATGGGGGAGGGGCAGCTGCCAGAGGCGCTCGCGATCTTCAACGAGGTGGCGGGGCCTGTGGCCGAGGGGCCCCGGCTATGTTGGGGGCCCCCTGCGTGTGCACCCCGTGCGAGCTTTAGGTTGGTTGCATGCAGCCGCGGCCTTTGTCTCGCGCTCGCGTTGGGGCCTGCACTTCATGATCGACGCGCGCGGCCAGAGCCTTGGATTCGGCCGCGTTCGGCGAGACAGGAACCAGCCTACCCGCCCTTTCACACCGGCGGACCCGCCCGAACGCCTCGCCCGTGTTTCGCGCCATCTCGCCCTCTCTCTCCACGCCGCGCCGCGCCCGTCAGGTGCGCGAGATGGTGCCCCTCAAGACCCGCACCGGCGGCCTCGCCACCCTCCAGGCGGCCATCTGCTACGACACGCTCGGCAACGCGCAGCAGGCGCAGGCGCGTCCCTGGTGCACGCGCGCGGCTCGACCTGTTGCCCCGCTTCCATGCGCTTTCTCAAATGCTGGGAGAGCGGCCGTCCCTCGCTTCTCCGGCCAAGAGCGCCCCCAGCAGCACCGCAGCCCGTGTAATACCAGGATCGGGCACCGCCATCAGCAATCCCCACTCACGGCATGACGCCCACCCGATCTTTGCACCCGCCCCGCGCCGCCCC